TTACCCGACGGCTTAGTAGTTGAATGCGAAATAATGCAGAATACGTAAATGGCAGACCCTGTGTGCGATTAGGTGCTTTCAGACAGGTCTGACTTTGATCTGTACTCACCATTAAAAATGAGCGAAGCCGAGAGAATATGGTTCTCCCCCCCTCCAGGATAAGTGGAATCGTGCCACGTTCCTCCCCATGTGCGACTGGGATCCGGACGGGCATCACAGGACGCGCAGTCTGCTCCATTGTTCCATCCGGTTAATGGTGCATATGTTATAGCCGCAGAGCCGTTTAGTATTTCGGAGTCGTCCACTGTGACGTTGACGAGGGTGGCGGTTGCAAGGAGGGATGTGGAAAAGCTCACGAGCGCAAAGATTAAATATTCCAGAAGAGGCGCCTGCCAGATGGGCATAGAGTGCTGTCAGACGTCACCAGACGGGTTGGATAGGACGCAGCTAGTCCCTGTAGTAGAATGCAAAGGAGTGTCGGAGAGGGTGAGAGGGAAAACAAGAAGACGGAAAGGAGCAAGAAAAGGAATGAGAGAAGGATCCGAAAGTCGCCAATGCGATGCATACGGAGAGCACATAAACGGGCGGTGTCTGCGGCCTTGACAACGTACGGTCATCCAGGAACAACGAATGGGACATACATTCAACTGAGTGTGGCACGGAACAGTCATTGACGACACCGCTCGATTGGCTGTGCCGAGACGTGGCCATCATCAGGGGCACTGTCAGCACCAACATCTTCTGGGCGTGGGGGATGTAACGGACTAGGAGGTCGTCCACAGCCTACCGGTATGCGTTGTCGCGGCTCTTCTACCCTCGCAGGCCTTGGGGGACGGCGAAGGGTCTCGTCGTGTCGTCAGCCATCGCTACGAACGCGGTCTCCAGCCTCCACGCTTCAGGCTCAGTTGAGGTTCTTCATCTCCGCGAAGCAACTGTCCGACGCCGCAGATGTACATGTGCATATTGCCGTAGAGAACGATGCATGAACTGAGTCGGGGACATTGATCCAGGCAGATCATTCTGGTTAGACAGATACACGTTGACATGACAGATGAATGCCACACCTTTCGCACGGAGGTTTATCTGGGAGAGAGAGACTGTGAGCTAGAGCCGAAGTGAATTTGGCGCGACTATATCACCAACAGATGGAGAAGTGATTGAATGCGTGTTTGAGGTGCAGAACATTGACGCGCCGTCTGCACCAACAGAGCCATTGATAGCAGCCAGCAGAAGTCGGTTTGCAGCTTTGGCGAAAAGAAGTGCTGCCTGTTCACTGCAACAAAGTAATGAGCGTGTTATGGTGCCATGCATTGTTGCCGGATGGAAGATGAAAGCAAGAGCGTTTGCCGAAATCATCACCGCCCTGACGGTGGCTTTGTGGCGATCCTCGGGCGGTGCCGCGGGTCTATAGTGGTGCTGTTGAACGCTGCATAAGTAGATAATGAATGACTCACATGATAAATTGCATACCTTCTGGCAAGCCTGATACCTATGTTGTGAGCAAATGCAAGTAATTTACGTTGCGTAGCATGGACGGTGTTGATAAGGCCTCCGGGTTCCTCCACCTCGTCGGTTCTTCACAGGGAATAACACCCATGCCTATGATTCACCACTGACAGCTTCCTGCCGCCGTTATTACAGCGCCTCTGTCGGGTAGAGCGATACACTTTTTCAATGTGTGATAATTACTTCCAACGGGTATGGATACTATGTAAGGTTCCCAACGAATGGCTAAATGACCGTGAAAGAGATAGTGCGAGGGTCGTATATAATGATAATCATCTCATAATCCCAGGAATCGTCTAGATTCCAAACTGAGACGTGTCTATTGCCTGGGCGTGAACTTGAGCAGACATCCATCCTGGGGGAAAATGGTGGCGATGATCTTGACCTTCTCACTCTGTGGAGTGACGACGTGCTCCCAGTTCATCATCACAGCGGCGTCGGCCAGTACGAGTCCGATGTTCATCATCGCATACTCCAAGCCGATGCATTTGTGCGGCCCGCTGCCGAACGTGAGATAGTTCTTCGGGTTTGTGTTCGCGGGGCTCTCAGGGTCCAACCAACGCTCAGGGAGGAACGCATCCGGGTCAGGGTACACCTCGGGGTCGTGCAGTGCGGGATAGAAGGACGGAATGACCATGCTGCCGGCGGGGACAGTGTAGTCCTCGCTGATAGGGAATGCCTTCGTCGCCTTGTATGGAACCATCGTGACCGGGGGCTTTACACGCAAGGTCTCTCGCACCATTGCACGCAGGTAAGGCATTTGGTCCATCATCTCCAACGTCAAGGGCTTTTCGCTGTCACCGCCACGGACCTCATCCTGCTCCGCCCTGATCTTTCTCAGGACCTCGGGGTGATCCGCAAGATGCTGGAAGCCGTAGATCAAACCGCTGCTCATGGCATCCTGGCTAGCGAAGAGGAAGGAGAACACGACCATGGCCATTTCGCGATCGGTGTATTCCTTTTTGCCCTTGAATGAGGGATCGTTCAGGTTGTACACCCACTCCTCCAACATGCACTCCGCAGGGTTGCCAGCAGCGACGCTCTCCTTTGATTTGCGCGCTGCCAACTCAAGCCACTTCATGGCAACCTTGCGCGCCTGGATAGCCCTGTAAACTTTCGTTCCGGGGATAGCGAGAGGGAAGTTGACGAGCTCAAGAGCAAGGGTGATATCCCAGTACTTTTGGTTGATCTCCTTTGCGGCGTGGTCAGGGATGTGGTTACCACAGAACACACGAAGCGAGGTCTCCATGTTCAAATCACGGGCGGTCATCATGATGGGAACAGCTTCCGGGTTGGTCGCAGCGTCGGCGAGCCACTGGTTGAGGTGCTTGCGGGTAATGATGTCCTGGATGGCTACGTAAAGACTGGTATGCGTGTAAACAAACACAGCCATGATGAAGATATATCTTCCACGTACCCAAGTGCTTTACGCGTAAACAGAGAGTTGAGACCGCGACGATAGTCAACATGCTCTTTGCCGGTGAGGAAAACCCTATGGGAGCACCGACGTCAGTCCAGAGAGCGTGCGATAACAACAATTGTAGCAACGTACCAGTTATCAGGGCTGAGGATCTGCTTAGCAGAATGCACGAGACACGGCTCGGCGTACGTGGGAGAGTTCAAGATCTTGCGCGCATACTCTGTCGTGGATGCCATGACAATGAAACTGAAGCAGAATAAATAGTTAACACCCAGTACCCAGAACAAGACGTAAAGAAACAGGAGTACGCACATGTTGAAGACGCTGACTGCGCTCAGCGCACCAGAAGCCCATTGTGACATGTAGCCCTCCATGGTGGGGTTCACAGAGTCTGCGAACTTGCCAATGAGCGGGATCGTCCATGTAGCTCCCGGAAGATGACGTTTCTTGTAGCGATAGACCGACTGCTCGAGAACAAGGAGGGAGAGAATAATAGCTGCAGTTGTGTAGAACCAGCTGCCGCTGGGCAACAGGTCAGGGAACGAGGGGAGGCCATCGGACGACGTTGAGGAGGACACCGACGACGGGGACAAGATCTTGGATGACTGCATCGCGGATTAGGGAGCGTCGTTCGTGTCGGGAGAGGCGAGACGACGAGGTGGCGACGACAAGTCCGTGGGGAGGAGACGAAAACTGAAATCGCCTGCGACCTTGAACTGTTCCCAGCGCGCGTCCTGATTGGCTGAAAACAAAATCGGTCGATTTCTTCGTGACAACTGTTTTTTGACACACCCGGCCCCGGCAGGTCCGGTGCGGCCTCGCTCGGCCCAGTGGCTGATCGCCGGCCGGAATGTGAGTCCCCGTCTACCGTTTTTGGTGTCTAGATTCTTCGTGGCGTTCAGCTATGTGCAATCCTCTTTAGCAAATAGATATTCATCAGCCACTCTTTCTAATGCGTTTCTCGTAGGCGGTCATTTCCGACTTCAAAGACTACCAAGTACAAGCGTCACTTAGCTAGGTGGGTCCCATAAAACGTCGCCCAGTGGTGTTCCGAGATATTGTACATGGATGGATTGTGCAAACAATCCTGGATAATGTATTGAGGTATTACAATGTGCGACTAGTGAGGTATGATGTCTTTAGCGCAGCCGATCGTGCGGGCACTGATAAATACTAAGTATCGCTCTCGCATTACTTTCTCACTTCTTTCTTCACGTCCGCCTTGAAGTCTTCCTTCCCTTCGCGTGCTCCCGCAGCAGCCTGGACCGAATCAACGTCTGCTCTAGCGTAACAGAGAATAGCAATCACAAACCTGGTTGGCTTTCTGTCCTGCGATATTGGCAGTCTCTTTCGTCTTGGATGACGCGGCTCCTAACGCCACACTCAGCAGATAATAAGCAGCAGAAACATATGGCTTACCTAGAGTCTCTTTGGTCTTAGCCGTGGCTTTCTCGCCGGTTTCAATGGCCGAAGCCAGCCCGCGTCCCGTAGTTTTGTTAACCTACATGAAACCAAATTAGAACCAAAGGTACATAAAATCACGGAAGTCCTTACATTGTCGGCCACCTCTTTCACACTGGATCCGCCTATGTAGCACGGTTAAAACACCAATTCAATACCTTACGCTGCTGCTACGCACCCACTGATTGTTTCGCGGCTTCTGCCACTTGCTCGCCCTTTTCAATTGCGGAGGCCAAGCTCTTCCCGACTTTGATGTTGACCTGAAGGAAACTGTCAGTCTATGAATCTTCGCCACAACAGGCGCAGCGCGTACATCGCTTGCTGTTTCCGTGACTTTCTCCGTCACCGTCTTGGCGGCAATGGGAGATGTGTGGAAAGCCCGTCGCGAGGACGAGGCGAGGACGGTGCGCGATGCAGAGGAGAGTGTTGAACGAAGCATGGTTGTTGTCTGAAGAGTTGAGGGCGTACAGCAGACATCATCCACAGTTTAAATAATCTCGACGAGGCGTGAATGACGTCGTGAACGGTGGAATGAGTGGAATGATGCGTCGCAGTCAGTGGAGTACTGGCGCCTGTGGCCAAGAAGTTGAGCCAAGGTACAACCGGTCATCACGGTGCTATAGTGTAGTGGTTATCACTCAGGATTTTGATAATACCTTCCTGAAACCCAGGTTCGAACCCTGGTAGCACCTATGCATGTTTTGCGATGATTCACCGTTACTCACCTCCGCGATTCTGACAGTGTTGCTGGCGAACTTCCTGTCCTTTGGCGACGTTCGGTACCGCCATATTCGCTGGTTACCTTGACCAAGTGCGTCGTTTTATTTTCAACTTCAACCAGTCAAGAGTCGCGTGTGCCCGTAAATGTGGATGATCGTGGCCACTAAAAAGGAAACTCATGATCGTCATTCCAGCGCGCCTCGCAATTATTCTTAAATTCAATTCGTACTCTCACCACTCTCTCACCTCTTGTCGCCTCTTGTCTCCGCGCAGACTCTATCAACCCTGGATGCTCAACAACACCATGATTACTATGACCTGCTCTCGCTTCCGAGCGATGCTAGCATCTCAGAGGTGAAGACTGCATACCACCGCGCTTTACTCTTGCACCATCCCGACAAACAGCACTCTCGTGAACCCCTTAAACAGGGTCGAACACGCTATGACATTGATTTGTTAAAGAGAGCCTTCGAAACGCTCGCCAATTCTGAGGAACGGGCCAAGTACGATGCTCTGCGTTCCCAGAGGAGTATTGGTCCTCGACCCGCGCAAGTTGTCTCTCTAGAAGATTTTACGGATCTAGACGACGGCTTGGGAACGTGGCGATACCGTTGTCGATGCAGCGGCGCGTATATCATCACCGAACGGGATATGGAAAGTGGGCAGCATCTGGTTGGGTGCAGTAGTTGCTCAGAGGTGGTGTGGGTCGGATATGAATTGGTAGAAGGGGATGAGGGCATGGAATGAAGGTACGTTGCTAGCATCGCCGCGATGCACTCAATACGCTGACGTGAGGTTCACCAGGCATATTTGGGCTGGGCGATACGCGACAATGGGTTGGCTGCGTGCTATTGTACACACTCGACGAGTCATCATCAGCCGTGCTACGAACGAATGAGAATGAACCAGACGGACGTTGTAAGACGAGACGGCTGCGCAGACACCTCGGCATGACAGAGCTATGTTCCACTGCCTGTTTCATATGATTTACTCCCGTGTTTCTTCTCCAGCGTGCATATGCGCCTACTCATCTACACTCGTACCTGTCTCGGAATCTTGCCTCTATCTACCGGCGACCAAGTGTCGTTCTAACAGGTCAAAGAACTGCGTTCCCGATCCTACGATGTATATGCAAACTGTTCACAACAATTCTACTGTCTTCGACACTTGATCCGTCACAGAATAAAAACTCACCAATCGTCGCTTCGTCCGCGCCTTCTGTTGTTACCACGTCGGCTCCGTGCGATACAGCCCATACTTCAAAGGCCAGCCGTCGGTTTCTCGGGGACGGCGGTCAGAAATGGGACGACTTCATCGCGCGCGAGCACCCGCACTCTTGTGCCGGGACTTACTGGGTTCCGTCTATATTGACGGCCAGTAGGGTCTTCCAAACGCTACAACCTCACAGTACAAGCCAGTCAAACCGCGGGCAAATCACTAATTACATTATCAGCCGCTGGAATGGTGCGGGTATCAGGCTCACATTGAGTCCATGCAGCATGCGGTTCTGGGGCGTGTCCTTGATAGAGATGTGGTATAAGGGTTTAAGGGACGGCAAGGTGCGTCTGGGCCGCAATGTAACAAGGCAGAAGTGGGCCCGTGCTTATAGTGTGCTGTAGGGTACTGCCGCAAGTAGGGCAACCCGGACCTGAAAATTGGGAAGTGGTAAGTCCTGTATTGTTCGAATATTCGCAGTGTCCTCTATCCGAGAATTCAATCGCACGTAGGGAGACGTTACTGTAGCCCAACTGGCCTTTCCGAAACCTGACATGATCGCCTGTCAACCATTCTGTCACTCTGGACCACTCGCAGTTTTTTGTTCCTGAGAGGTATCAGCGTTTAAACTCGGAATCTTCAATAGACAAGCCAGTGTATCAAGGTATCGTCCGGACGACGCTTTGATAGTAGTTTTGGCGGGAGGTTCACCAGCGGTTCTAACCCTTTCGAGGTCAGTATACGGTATGAATTTCTACTTTTTACTTTCTGCGTCTGTACTCAACACATAGTCCCCTCAGATGGATCCTGGAATGCTGCCCGATGGTGTGTCAAGATTGGCGTCCCTCCATTCCATTCCTTAAAACACTGGGCCTGCGTTGACATTGCGAGGCACCTGGGCGGAGTTAGCAATTTGCCGCAGGCTACTTTTGTCCCTGTTAGTTGGTGGCTTTGCTTGTCCGGCCTGAGATCCAAAGGTATAAAATGCACAGAACTGGTGAGCCTCTTGTATCCAGCACTCATCGCCCTTCCCAACCGCGTGTGTCCATCCTCCTTCGTTACCGCCTTAACCCATCACCAACGACACTGTGGAACAATGCAGGCCGCTTCTATCAGCCAAGTGTTGGAAGACGCTACAGCCGCAGGGATAGAAGCATGCATAGGGCGTCAGGGGTATTTTGAAGAACCATTCACCACAGCCTTCGTAGCCACTATTCAGAACAAAGGAGGGCAACCAATAGCAGCAGTCCGTTGTAAATACCTATCATGCATGCCCGCTTCTAACCAGTTTCTAGCGTATACACAATAGCAAAACGGAGGAGCCGCACACCGGATGTGACGTCCAACTCGATTGGACGCGGCCTGGAGTGGTGCAGAAGCGATCATGTTTCCTGCAGATCAAGGTTGTCTATCCGGGCTACAGACAGTATATGGATACTGTGGGCAAGCAAGTGCCCAATAATGTGGTGACACCCAATCAGCCTTATTTCGATCTGTTTTATTGGAGCAAGATGGGCCCCTATTACCAGGTCATTACGCTTGATAAACATGTTCAAAAGCAGGTAATTGGTAATCCTATCGCTTCTCGGGGCCATAGCACTGAATGATATCCTTGCAGAGCCAGCAGGCACGTACTTTTGGAGGATATCTCCTCGTAGAACCCATCATGGACCACACCAACACTGCTGTAGGGTGTTCAGTCAAGTACATTGATATCAACACGATCAAAGAAATAACAGTGTTAGATACTGAACATTTCGACATGACAGTCAACCCGGAACTCGCCGCCAATCCGCTAACGTTGAAGGATATGCACGAGGAACGTATCAGAGTGGCCGGGGTAGCCTATGCACAAGCTCAGTCATGGGACAATATGCCACATTACTGCGAGCACTACTGAACCTGTACAAGGATAGTAATGGCGACATGCTAATGTAGTAGCGATTATGTGCTTCGTCGACTTGTACTTATCCAGCCACAAGCTACGGTTCATTTGATAGAGAGAGAAAAGTGCAGTCTGACCTTATTGTATACAGTCGAGATTGGTTTGGACTGTCCATTGCCATTTGAACAGGTAGTCGCGTGTCTGAGTTGGTTTCTACCGTTGGGACGTGTAGCGTCTCCTTTGGGAGATGGCCGTGAAGTCGGCGCTATGTTCGTGCTTTCATTGCATCGTTGACATGTCTCGCAAACGTGCACACTCCCCGGACGTTACCACCAAATTGAAAAAGAAAACAAGAAGCAGAGTTATTCCTGACTTTGATGGGGAGAACGACCAGACCACGGGTCGTATGCATTACAGAATGCGAACTTTACGCCACCTCTGACAACCGTAGCATCCAGGTCTTCTGACGTTGTGCTCAAAGAGCACCTACTAGACATCGTTGGAAAGTATATCAGACATAGTTGTGTTGTGAGTCAATGTTTGTCATATGAAACCCCGTTTCAAATAAGTGTCAATGGTGATTCGACCACCAGGTTGGACGGTGTCGCTACTTGGGTAGGTGACAGTAGCTACAACAAACACAATAGAAGTTTAACAATCGCACGAGCAGCTGAGTCATGTAGCAAAGAACTTCAGGAAACAGTCGACTTCTTCTAGTGATGGTGAAGTGGCCCTCCATATCCACAATTATGCCGCTCCTGGTGCAACGGTCGAGGACGATTTGACAGACCAGATGTCAACATTCTTTGATCACTTTCCTAAGAGCTTAGTCTGCTTGATTACATCACCCTTTACACGTCTATACCTGTGCCCCGCTCGCTTGGTCTGTTGGCCGTTGGGCCGATCATGTATGTCTTCAGCAGCTTCGTTCCCAGCGCGACTCTAGAGAAAGAGTGGCCGTCGCTATCACAAGAGCAGAAAAGCGCTGTCTATGGCAAACTCAACACGATGATCTCAGAACTGCGAAGCCTTCCTCATCATCCGTCGATACCCCTCGGAACCTTATGAGCTCCTCACATCTGCAAGGAACTCCGCCTCACGACACACGTCAGTTGACTGGACATCCGCGATGTCGCCCAATCTCACAATTTTCTCGTGTCTTATACTTTCCCATCATTGTCTACCAGCTATCGCCGGTGGTTGCGTGCAAAATGCTTCGGGACAATTATCGTGTAGTGCTCACGCATGCGGATCTTCATCCTCGTAATATTATGGTGACTCCTGCTTCTGATGGCCAAGTACGGATAACGGGGATTATCGATTGGGAAATGGGAGGTTGGTATCCTGAGTAGTGGGAAATGTACACAGCACTCAATACGTGGGATGGGAACGACGACAACGACTGGTGGGATTCGTTACCGGAATGTATTCGAGGATACGATCGTAAAGTCTTGGAACGACGTGTCCTCGAACAATCCAAACTCATGTAAGGCAAAGTTATATATAGTTTCCCACATGTATAAGTTCACGTCGAGATGAGATGGCATATTCCATTACAGTATAGTGATGCGTAAAGTTCCCGTTCTCAAATTACATACTGCCGCACTCTTACGGTAACGTAGCGTTAGTTTGTATCGCATGCGATTCTACCTCAAAAAAGGGACCTTTGCCGCATTGAAGGCGCTACCAGGGTTCGAACCTGGGTTCCAGGAAGATGATACAAATCAAAATCCTGAGTGATAACCACTACACTATAGCGCCCATAAATACGTATGGTTTCAAACCTCTGATGATACTGCCTCACATGCCCATTCCTACGTCCCCTTCTCCGCTTTATACCCTCATCCGCTGAACTTCATGGAGGCGTTTCGGCTTTTATCCAGAGGAGGGGCAGTGTTCGATAAGAAGAGGTTCCGAAGTGATGTAGAGCTGTTTGATGTACGTATGTCATAGCACGTTCTGCATTTGGCTCATCGTTGCAAGTTGTAGAAAACAAAGTTTTCCCGCAAGACCAAAACTATCGCAACTTCTGCGGAGGAGGATGGGTTGCCTGCGGAGCTGGATTTTTTCAAGTATGCCGAAGGCTCTGTGAAGCGGAAAGGTGTGCTGGACCAGGAGGAGAGTCAGGAGAAGAGAAAAAAGAAGAGCAGAGTGAATGAGGACGACAAGGAGGAAGAGGATACGAAACGAGCGTCCAGCTCAACGCTACCCAAGCAGCGTGTGACGGCTAAGGGCCGCGAAGTCCCTGACCCGGTCGAGTCTTTCGAGGATTTGCGAGCGCGGTATGACCTCCCACCCCAGCTGTTCTCTAACTTGGCCGAGAGCGGATACGATCATCCGACTGGAATACAAGCCCACGGTGTTCCCATTCTTTTGGAGGTACGTCATGTATAAGCGTGCACATGTATTGGTCACCTAGTTTGCCCTTTAGAAACGCGACCTGGCAGCCATATCGCCTACAGGCACAGGAAAAACATTGTCATATCTCCTTCCTGTTATGTCGCTTCTCAAAGTCCCCGCTGCGAAGTCTTCTGGACTGGATACTGGCTCCGGCGTTCGAGCACTTATCCTTGCCCCGACCCGTGAATTGGCCCATCAGATACATAATGAGTGCCTCAAACTGGCACAAGGGAGGAAATGGAGGATAGTCTTATTCAGCAAAGCTACAGCAAGTACTTTGGCTGACAAGAATGTGAGGGATAAGGTTGGTAAGTACACGGACGGTCTTTTGCGTCTGAATGGTATTGAAATGCATGCTTCCAGACATCATCATCAGCACACCGCTACGAATGGTCGCTGCTGTACAAGAGGGCAATCTGGAGCTGGATAAGTATGTGCCGTATCTCGTCCCACTGCAGGTAATCAGCTGACATCCTCTTGATCCAGTGTTCGCCATATCATACTTGACGAAGCGGACCGCATGCTTGACCCTGAGTTTTTGGATCAAATACAGGAAGTAATTGCTGCGTGCACACATTCAGAAGTTCAGAAGGCCGTATTCAGCGCTACTCTGCCTGCAAATGCTGAGAAGATTGCTATGAGTATGTTGCGAGATCCGATACGTGTTGTTGTAGGGCTAAAGTGAGTGTGACCTCAGGTTTCATTCGTGTACCACCGGTATATCTCATCACAAATCAGGGATACGCCCCTCCCGCTTATTGCGCAGTCACTCACATATGTTGCGGACGACTCTTCCAAACTTCCCACACTTATTCAACATCTCTCTCAGCCGTATAATCCACCGTTATTAGTCTTCGTCTCTTCACAGCCCCGTGCCTCTTCACTTGCTGAGGAACTTGTGCTCTCCGGGATACCGAACGTCGATTGTCTTCATGCAGGCATGACCAAGAAGGAGCGGGAGGATACAATCAGCCGGATGCGGAAAGGGGAGAGTTGGGTGATGGTGTGCACCGAAGTTATGGCGAGAGGCATGGACTTTAAGGGGGTCAGAGAGGTGGTGAACTACGACTTCCCGCAGAGTGTACAGAGCTATGTGCACAGAATAGGTAATGTTGCCCCTCGCGCTGACGGCTCCTTTTTCTGACCTGCCTCGACAGGTCGAACGGGCCGTGCAGGAAGGGAAGGAAAGGCCGTGACATACTTCACGAACGAGGATGCGCCCTTCCTGAAAACGTGGGTTTCATTTCACTATCACAGGGTCAAAGCAAGCGCTCAATGTGCCACTCGTCTGAAAATTAGGATCGCAAACGTAATTCTGCAGTCGGGCTCAACAGTACCGGAATGGATGTTGAAGCTACCCAAACCTTCCAAGCTCAAACGGCGAGAAATGGGCAAGATCAAGCGTGCAGACACTGTCAATAGTGCCCGTCGCATAGGTCGTGCCGACGCAATCAAAAAGAGGTCAGTGATATGTCTGGCCAATGCTCCAAGGCGTGTTCGAAATCTGATTCGCGCAATAGGGATATGATCGCGGGCTCCAAGAGGAGAAAAGAGGCAACTCAGGGCCCAGTACGGAACAGAAGCGATGATGACAGCGGGACAGGGCTGAACTGATTTTATGCGATTTCTGGTAGATGTCATCAGGACAATCGATATAGCGATCTCAGAGTGGCACACAAGCTAGCTATTGAACACGCGCTGGGATTGCCCATGAGCCGTGTGAATCGTGCATTGTGGACGACTTCTCAGATGCATCGCAAACAAAGTGGCTTTGTACACAGCCGAGAAATCGTGCAGGAGTAACATGCAGACCCACTGCTGTGTGTAATACCCGTGGCGTCGTTATGATGCCGCCGTGTTGTTCTCAGAAGCGAGATTTAGCTTAGGATACAGTTTGTTGCTCCCTCAAATACATCTGTGGGGGCAGCCGACCGCCGGCTTAAACATATTAAAGCAATTTCACGACAGCTCATAGTAGGCATTGTAATGGGGTGACAAGCTCTTTGACCGTACGTCTTTGCTGCGCATACGAGTGGCACTTGGACGCGCAGAAGTGCAGGATGAAGGGCGATAGCGAGACCGGAACGGAGTGCTCAGGTGTGATCCCGACTCATGTGATACAAAAAAGAGGTTTGACAAGCTGACGAGTACCTGGAAGCGGCGAATGCTGGATGTGGGATTCCGGAGCCTTGGGCCTTCGAGGCGAATAGATGGGTGCAGAGTCAAGAAATTACGCCGTGCCTCGGGCGTTGGGTTGGGATAGGCAGAGCACTAGCGGTGATTCCTAGTCTGTCATATCATCCAGGGTCGCTATGTATTGTCAGAGTGGCGGCAGGATGTGTTGTGCAACTCCACGACGAAATAAACCTGAACAATTTCGATATCGAGATGGCTTTGTCGCCCAATAAATAAACAAAAACAGCTTTGTCTACTTCCGTCAAAGCCGTTATTGGGGACACATTCTCTCAGCTTTCAGACCGTTTACATCCTGACAAATAAGAGCAAGTTGGTATATTTCTGCTGACGTGCCACAAGTCTTTGCCCACAGAAATAATTACTTGTACAGATGCCGAAGCTGAACTCCGAGGGAAATGAAATCAATCCACGTCGGTCGAGCCCTCATGTACGACATGAGGCTGATCGAGAGGGAAGGACTGACGGTGGGTACTCCCGAGCCTCTCTTACCACAATGGTTGAAAAGGTCAGAGCTCGAAGGGACCCAGAGAGCACCCCAGGTCTCTGAACTCTTCGAGCTCTCGCACTCTTCAATCCCCATTTGCCACTCATCAATTATATTCATCGCTGCAATGCCTGTCTTTCGTAATGTGTCCACTGTTCGTCGTTCCCGGCGACTCTCGAATCGCCCGCCCCCAGTTGATCCTGGTTCGTGTGTTTACTCTACCTTTGTCTCTGTGGGTCCATCGCTGAGCGTTGTTTGTAGAGTTTGAATATTACGACTTGGCGCTGCTCAGCTTGTCTGATCCCGAAGCGAACGCTGCCTCGTCGCGTGGTGCCACTCCCGATACTGCCTCCGCTGTCTATACCCCCCCTTCCACACTGTCTGTCGACGACGACATTGACTCGGATATTTTCGTGCCACGTTCTTCGCATTCTCGTAAGCGCAAGGAAGGCCACATCCCCCGCCCACCGAATGCCTTCCTCTTTTACCGGTCCTGGTATTGGTCCCAAGAGAAAACCAAGACCACTGTGGAACGCGACCATCGCAAGATCAGTCGCATTGCTGGTCATCTATGGAGGACGTCGTTGACTGAGGACGAGAAGCAACCCTTCAAGGAGCTCGCTGCAGAGGAGAAAGAACGCCACTCCAAGCTCTATCCTGGTTACAAGTATTCGCCTGTCTATCGAAACAAGACTAGCAAGAAGAAGGTCAAGCATGACGCCAGCTTCGAGCAGCGACGCTGCAAGAAACTCGCAGATCTATTGTACAAGGGTGTAGAGGGCAAGGATCTCGAGGAATTCGCAAACAGGATTGACGATGAAGCTGACACTTCACCTATCAAGAAGGAGCCCAAGCACGAGCGTATTCCAAGCTCTCGTGGGTCTACACGCTCTCCCTATGCCGCCACCTCTCGTCGCCGCAATGCTTCTACCACCTCGAAGACGAAGAAGCTGTCTAGTAAGCGCGGTGCCACTCAACGCTCCCCCGCACCTGAGCCGGCCTCGCCTACAGTCAAAGAGGAAACCATGGCATCCCCTAAATTGCTATGCTCTCCAAACGAAGCACCTACTGGGTATGTTCCCACTGAGGATATCCCCCCGCTGAGCTTGTCGGACAGCGATGACCAGGTGAGATCCTCCAGAAGTGCAAAGTCTCCGCCGCATCTTGTGCTGATCATCGACATAGGCTATCTCATCTCTACCAACCCTTGCGATCCCTGAGATGGAGCCAGCTTATGGTGGATGGGGTCCCGACGCCGCCCGGTTGTCGCTGCTGCAGCCTCACGAGTACTTCTCTCCTTCATCACCTTTATCCCTCTCGCCTCCCTCCTCCTATCCCAGTCTTCACACACAGCCGCAGATTGCTTCCTTCGCCAACCCTTACCCTTGGGAGACACCGTTTATGGTCCCTAATCACACCGACGACTTATTCAGCGCGGAGGCAGAGTTCCCCGTGCCTTCTCCCGAGGATATCATGAACGAATACCTGAACCTAGACTATGAAGTCTAACTTCCACACCATTTGTTCCGCGCTTACGCCTCGCCGCTCTCTCTTACCAATGTTCCACTCTAGAATCGTGTGTTTCGCTCCTGTCTGCTATGCTCTGTGTTCTACTTCGGTTTCCTCTCTTTTCATCCTTTGTATTTCTATATCTACTATGACTCGGAGGTCTTTGTATGTA